CCCCAAAACCCCAAAACCCCAAAACCCCAAAACCCCATGTCATTAGGATAGGAGTTAAAATCGCTACTGTAAAATAGTAAAAATTACCTGAAATATGAGAATCTCTAATGTAGAAAGAAATGAGCAAAAAAAAAGTTTGTATGCTTCAATTACACATATTAATTTAGCAATCTTATATATACAAATCATAGAGTTAGTTTTCTATAAAAAAGAAGATAAGCTTCCTGATTTAGAGCATCTGTTTCCTTGACTTATTAATACTCCTCGTCATTGAATAAAATCCACTTTTGATTTCTTTTAGTGAACGCTACATAATGGCCTTGTTCTAGTGTTCCCACATGAACTGTCAATGCAAAGAGTTCATATTAAGTATCCTCCACATCTAGCTTACTATTTTTACAATACCTAAAATTGTAGATTAGAATTAGAGAATAAAAATCAGACTTATTATTTATAGAACCTTACTTTTGCATGTCTATATAACTTCCATACTTAACCTTCCCCTTGATTTTTTTCATGGACGGAAAAGCGAACCTTTTCAGATGGAATACCAAAATATTCGGCAACTTGCTTATCTCCGTTTTAATTTTAGCCTTCGAACTTTAATTGCACTTCTCGCATTTATACTAGTCTTTAGTATCTAGGGTGTCCTCTCGTAAATAATTTGCAATGCATTTGTCGATTGAACTCTCATAGGCTAGGCTGAGTGTCATGAAAGGGTTGTAGGTAACAGACTTTCGATTGCACTTTACGCAAGTTACAATTGTCTTTTACAGCCCTTAATAATGTAAAAATTTAATCAATCCTTACCACTAAATAATTTGTCGATAATAGAGGGATGAGATTGCTCGAAATTATTCCAAGATGCCTCAGCACTCATGTTATCGGAATCAGTATACTATTTTTCTTAAATTGGAGTTTCTTCATCTTATAGATTAGACATGATATGGGTGAAAAATTCATGACAATCATGCTAGAATACAGGGGAAAACTTATTTACAATCTCAGTTTTAATGTGATCCGGGGACACCACAACAACCATCTATGTTTGTCTTTTCCCTAAAACTTCTTGATACAGTTGCTAATTATTCTTCTTAAACCATACATCTTAATAAAATTTTGTAAAGCTAAGGGATAGTCGAAAATTATTCTTAACTCTGTTAACATCTTTAAATCTTCTAAATTCCCTACTCAAAAAATGCATTTTCAGTTAGTCTATTGCTAAAAGACACTGTAAGCATGAATTGAGGTAGCAGAAATAAGAATAATTCTGTAATCCTACTACGCCATCAGATAATTAAGATTCGAAATCTTGCTACTATATTTATTTTTTGCTTTCTTCAATCCTTTGGGCAAGAGATAACCCTTGACCTTTACCAGATTCATATAACATCGGATGGCCTTTTGAAAATTTCTAAAATGATGAGCTTGTTCCACTAATGAACGAAGCATGAGAAACGCTGTCTTAGTACTGCTGTTGATTTTTCAAAGATGAGGACTAGGTTGATTACTCGCTAGTTTTGGCTCCAATAACTCCTTGAACAGGACCACTATTGTTTGGACTTACTGCCATTCTAGAAATTGAAGCTCTTTAATACTATTTTCCCTGGATGAAATAATCGCACCCGTAAAGGCTGTATAAGTATTCAAACAGGGATTTATGGACTAAAATGAAATCCTCATTCATTCTGAGATATCTAGCTCTCTACTCCTCAAATATTATTCGATGAAGTTTTTCGTTATTTATATAGTCTGGAGAATCAAGATTCCCCCTTAGATACTCTATCCATCTTTCTATCCATTATTAGTCCACTAGGTACAAAACATCAGCGTTTTCTTTATTTTGCTTGAACTAGTGATAAGCTTAGAGCTCAGCCTGCCTTCTCTGATTTTAATCCAGAGTTATCAGGTCTAAATTGGGCTTTCTTCGGATAAAACACTTTTTAAACTAATAATAAAGATTAGATTGAAAATATTACATTAGTATTTACTTACTTACAAGCCAAATCTTCTGTTGATGTTATACTCAATTACGTTATTTTATGCAGTTGTCGTTTAGGATATATTGCTTTATTGTCTAACGAAAGATTGACTTTTCGATCTATCAGCATTTCCTCTGCTTATGCTGGTATTGCTTGTCTAATTAACATTGTTTTTAGATAGATTAGTTTAAATCTAGTCATCTTGTGATACATCAAGGTTGCTGGGATTATTGATTAGGGATGTAGAAGATTAATTTAATTCATTTGCTTTATCATGTTTTTGCTATTATTACAGATTTTGAGCCTATTTTTTAATCAATGCAATAAACGAAGACTCTTCCTGCACAGCCTCTTTTTTCTCCTCTCCTTTAGGTATATCAACAGTGGGTGATGTCGACCTTTTTCGAGTCATGCTTTTTCTTTTTTTATTAATCATTGAAGGCTTCTTTACCTTGGATTTATGCACAACCTCCTCTTGTTTTTACTCTTCTTTTTGTTTCTGTAATAGCTCTAATTGTTATTGTTTTTGTTCCTCCATTAGTTTGTTCTTGAAAAACTAAGGATTAAAACTTTATTCATCTTCACAGTAAACTGCCTTATTCATAATGATACTCCCTTGAAGTTGGTTCTTCTGGGGTTTATCAGCAATGTTGACAATCTGAGAACGACTCTCTCCTGATTATTTCATTTTGTCTATGATTATATTTAATCATCAAAAACTTTATAAATACTCATATTATTACATTTATAGTTTTCAATCCTATAACATTACAATCACTTGGGGTTTTGGGGTTTTGGGGTTTTGGGG